ATAAACTCCCAAAATTCCTCCTCCCGTCTCCGCTGCATCCGATCGGAATCCCTCTCCTGCTCCGCCGTTCTCAACTCAACTGCCAATGTCTCAACTGATTCTCCGGCTAAAACCACCGAGAACGAGGAATTCGTCTCCCGATTCGCCCCAGACCAACCTCGCAAAGGTGCTGATATCCTCATCGAAGCTCTCGAGCGTGAAGGCGTAAAGCACGTCTTCGCTTACCCAGGAGGTGCATCTATGGAGATCCATCAATCCCTAACTCGAACCGGCAGAATCCGTAACGTCCTTCCTCGTCACGAACAAGGAGGAGTTTTCGCAGCCGAGGGTTACGCTCGTTCCTATGGAATACCAGGAGTCTGCATCGCCACTTCCGGTCCCGGAGCTACCAATCTCGTTAGTGGTTTAGCCGACGCATTGCTCGATAGTGTCCCTCTCATTGCGATTACAGGACAAGTTCCTCGCCGGATGATTGGTACTGACGCGTTCCAAGAGACGCCGATTGTGGAGGTAACTCGTTCGATTACGAAACATAACTATCTTGTGATGGATATTGAGGATATACCTAGGATCGTTAAGGAAGCTTTCTTTCTAGCTAGATCGGGTCGACCTGGTCCTGTTTTGATTGATATTCCTAAGGATATTCAGCAACAGCTTGCCATTCCTAATTGGGATCAGCCTATGCGTTTACCTGGTTATATGTCTAGGATGCCTAAACCTCCGGAAGCTTCTCATTTAGAACAGATTGTTAGGTTGGTTTCGGAGTCTAAGAGGCCTGTGTTGTATGCTGGTGGCGGATGTTTGAATTCCGGCGAGGAACTGTGTAGATTTGTCGAGCTTACTGGAATCCCTGTTGCGAGTACTTTGATGGGGCTTGGTTCTTATCCTTTAGATGGTGAAATGTCGTTGGGAATGCTTGGGATGCACGGGACTGTGTATGCGAATTACTCTGTGGAACACAGTGATCTGTTGCTGGCTTTTGGGGTTAGGTTTGATGATCGTGTCACGGGAAAGCTTGAGGCTTTTGCCAGCCGGGCTAAGATAGTTCATATCGACATTGACTCGGCTGAGATTGGGAAGAACAAGACGCCTCATGTGTCTGTGTGTGGAGATGTTAAGCTGGCTTTGCAAGGGATGAACAAGGTTCTTGAGAACCGGGGACAGGAGCTCAAGCTTGATTTCGGAGTTTGGAGAAATGAGTTGAACGAACAGAAACAGAAATTCCCGCAGACCTACAAGACGTTCGGGGAAGCTATTCCTCCACAGTACGCCATTCAAGTTCTCGACGAGTTAACTGAGGGGAAGGCGATTATCAGCACCGGTGTTGGGCAACATCAAATGTGGGCTGCGCAGTTTTACAAGTACAAAAAACCGAGGCAGTGGTTATCATCATCAGGTCTCGGTGCTATGGGTTTTGGACTTCCTGCAGCGGTTGGAGCGTCTGTCGCAAACCCTGATGCGATTGTTGTCGACATTGACGGTGACGGAAGCTTCATGATGAATGTACAAGAGCTGGCTACAATCCGCGTGGAGAATCTTCCAGTGAAGATACTTATATTAAACAACCAGCATCTTGGCATGGTTATGCAATGGGAAGATCGGTTCTACAAAGCTAACCGAGCCCATACATATCTCGGAGACCCGGCAAAGGAGAACGAGATATTCCCGGACATGCTGAAGTTTGCAGACGCTTGTGGAATTCCAGGGGCAAGGGTGACAAAGAAAGCAGAACTTCGAGAGGCTATTCAGACAATGCTGGATACACCAGGACCTTACTTGTTGGATGTGATTTGTCCGCACCAAGAACATGTGTTACCGATGATCCCGAGTGGCGGCACATTCAATGATGTCATAACGGAAGGAGATGGTCGGACGAAATACTGAGACGGATGGAAACCGGTGATTATCACAAGTTCTTACGGTCTTGTATGCATATGGTAAAAACTTAGTTGCAATTTCCATCTTTTGTTGTTGTTGTTGGTAATATGGGTTTCTTAGTTGTTGAACTACTTTTTTTATTTACCCTATTGCTGCTCTTTTGCTTCCTTTTTCTTTTGTAAAACCGGTTCGGTTTGGATATTGCGAAATAAAATGGAGACTTGAGTAATTTAAATTGGAAAGTCTTTTCTGATCAAAAATGAAAAAATTGGAAGTCTTTTTACTCAAAACTCGAAGATGTATTTGCATTAACTCGGTCATGGCCTCACGACGAATCTTGCAAAGGGAGTATCCCTATTATTAGTGGGTTTGATTGGCATG